CCCCCCCCCCCCCCCCCCTCCCCTTCTGGTTTGGTTTGGTTTGTTCTCTCTCTCTATCTCTTCAATTTAAAAATGAACTAAAGACACATTTTGCATAACATGCTAAACCTGTGGAAGAATTGCTTTGGACAGCTGTACATGACTGTGACTTCTTGTGAAAAAAATCTGCCACAGTAAAGTCTGGAATAAGTACTCTTAAGGTCAGCTGTAGCTACTCTCATGTTTCATGTCATATACAAGGCCGTTGATTCCAGTCTCATAAATATATTCCAGAGGACAGACTTTGCATAGATTAAATCATATACATTTTCATTAAATTTCCTAAAAAGTGCAGCATTGCACATGTAAACAACATGCTCTGAAACTAGCCATGAAAAACAGCCACAACTGAGAATGTGGGACCGGAATCTGTGCAGCAAAGCACTAGTGTACATCTTTTGAGAAAATGTATGGCATTTTTTTTACCTATAAGCACTCTCAGCTTGGAAAGATTTTGTTTGTCTGTGTTAAATTTTCTACCTGGATTTAAGTCTTCATGTTCACAATTTTATTCATTTCCATTTGAAAACAATTTGTATTCAAAACAGTACTTTACTGTAAATGTTTTAATTTCCAGAGAAATTCTAAGTGGAAGAAATACTGGAAGGTTTCAGGTCAAGGGCGTCATATACAGCTGACCTGGTAACACAATGGTGATAAAATACAAGTTGCTCCAAAATACTATAATGGCAAGTGAGAGAAAGGATCTACTGACTCTTTCCATTTCTTTCTTTACCTTTCTTTCTTTGCTTTATAGTCTCTCTACCCTTCTTTGAAAAACCAAAGAAATATTGTAAATACTGTTTGGCATTTGCTTTTTACCTCTTTTTTGTCCAGCAGACATGTCTGTTCCAAAGAATCTATGCTTACATGAGTCTTTGAGACACTGTCTTTTTACAAATAACTTCTGTAACCTCACAGACAACTGAAAATTAATTGAAATCAAATGCTGGTTTGCAAGCTCATATCTATTGCCTCTGAGATCCTCTTCCTTTCTTCCTCAGTGGTTCATTTTTCTTTAAATTCCCTTCTGTAAACCCAATAGCAGTTTACTGACTGATAGGCAACACGGTGATTAAGAGCTGAAATGCTGTCTTGCCAAAATATACATACATTTACCTGCAATTCTTACACTTGTCTATAATCTCACTTTGCCCTCTAGTGCCCACTGTGTTGTTTTCTGTACTGTAAAGTACCCGGTTGACTGGAATACTTCAAAACATATATCTACTTTGTGATTATTAAGGATGATTGTGAACCAGAAAGGAAGCTTTTGGAGATTAGAGTTTCTGAATAATCTGTGGGCTATGAATTAACATCTTCTTACTGCAGGAAAGTGAGGCAATCCCTCATGAGAGGGCAATTGAAGATATTTCATTCCATTTCCATGTTTCAGTAAAAATGGGGCTGTTTCAGTATCAGTTTACTGCATTGCAGAAGTCTGCTAGAATGTCACAACCAGAAAACTAAACAGGCTGAATGTCCTTTTATTGTACAGGCTTGCAGAAGTGCAAAAAACAAACAAGCAGTTTGTGCAAAAAAACAAACAAGCAGGAAATCAGATTTCCAACAGTCTGGCAGTGGAACTATCCCAAGTGCTGTTAGTTACAAAGCCAAAGAAAATCTCCTTCAGCTGTATTTTTTATTTTTATTTTTTGGTGGGATCTCACCCTTTTGTCTTTCTGGTTGTGCCGGATCATGGTAGCATTGTTAGCAGGTTTTCCTTCTGGTATTTCAGCTTCAGACCTGATACCCATAGCTGTCATCGTTTTCTTTAGCTTGCGTCCGTAACTGGCAGAGAGGAGAGCACGTCTACCCTGCAAAAGAGACCTCTGTCACAGATGGTACTTGAGATCTGGACGACCATGGCTATTGTTCTCACCAGTTCATT